GCATCTCCCGTACCGACTTGAGTCAAATATCAAGGAAGAATGTTAAAAGAAAATTGCAAAACCTACACTCACCATCATATGCCCTCAATAGAGCTTCCAGAACAAATATAAACTGTCCCTAAAGAGAAGAAATAATTAAACAGTCAGCTACTTCTAAGAAACAGGAAAAGTGAACCACAGACTAAAACATCAAAAGCGAACTTCATGTAACTGTTATCAAATTGTCCACTTACCGGAGTTTGTATGAGAGAACATCGTTGGTCTCTCATTTTCCGAACAATTTCTAATGGAAATACAGGTTCAGCTCCTTCAATCATGTTGAATGCCGTTTCCATGAAAATCAAAACGCCTGTGCGACCAACACCAGCGCTTCAAGAAAAAAAGAGAGAGAAAGAAAAGAGAAAGAAAATCAAACTTAATCCTGCGACAGTTCTTTGCACGTCACGAAACTTGCTGAACCTGGCAGCTGGTCACTAAAGGGTATTTTTCGGAAGGAATCGACGACAGGAGATAAAAATCTGTTGAACCAGATTTCACGAATCGGGCCAATTTTATCAAGATTTTTTGTCCCGATAAGTTCATCCGATGAATCATCAGAAATATTAAAATCTACTGATGTAAAATAGTTTCTCAGTAGCTGCTCCAAGACTTTGATGTTACTTTTCCTACCTGCAATGTAACACGGTTGGAGTATTTGTTCCTTCACGGTAATGGCGAACAATATGAATAAACTCGAGAAAATCCGTCGAGTCGTCTGGGACATCTGTGCATGAATACAAAAACAGTATAAAAATAAAGCTACGTCAACTTTCACAACACCAAACAGTTATTTTTATTTAACATCCAGGTATTTAAAAACAGGAGACATATACATAAAGAGATTCAATTTAATACCTTATGAAAAAAAATTCAGTCGAAACAAAGAACAAACCGCTGTATGTAAAACAACAGATAACTTGTCATAAATTTCGCCGCAAGTTTATTCTGTCAACAAAACGAAAGCTTTAATTTTAAACGAACTAATGAGACAACTTATTACCGATGCCAGAAAAAAAAGAAAACAAAAACTGTCAACACTAGCTTCATATTGAAAACTGAAATCGCCTTTCATCACATAATTAAGTTGGATCTTTTTTTTTTTCAACTATTGGCGAAAAGCTGCGTGAAATCAGATAAATGTCATTTGAAGACTAAGATAAAATGTCGACATGTTTGACCAGGTGGCTAGCTGTTAAATACTCCTTTTTAAAACAAAAAATATTAAACCCGGTTCAGATAATTAGCCTGTTATTAGAAAGAGAAAACGAAACGAGGTAAAGGTAAAAGCAATAACGTGTTTTAAACTAGATTCGCTCTTATAGTGAAGAAGTTTGCATTTGCCACGCAAGACAAAAGACAACGTGTAATTGGTCAGAATTTCCCGCGCAAAACACACAACCGCAACAAAGCAACTACATCGCTTCGCTGCTATCAATATTTTCTAACATTTCAAGTTTGGAAGCAGAATGTGACTTTGGTTTAACAATCTTTTTGACGTAACAAGCCGCCAAAGTTATAAAAAAATGAACACAGTTAAAGTTTTCATAGAAAAAGTCGGCCAAGCGCCTTCGCCGAGCAAAGATTTCCATCAGCTCGTGGTGAATGAAAACGAAGTGATATGGCGAACATGGCGGATTGCTTTACGAGGAGATCAAAGAGGACTGCCGCCAAGCACAAGAAAAGTGCCTTGGGATGATTTTGATGACGATACACTTCTTCAGGGCGATATAAGCTGTGTTTTTGGCGAGGAAACGCTCAAACATGTTCATGCGGTTGTGTGTGGAGACTGGTTGATTCGCTTACCGTCTCGTGTTATTGTACACATCGCATCTTTTCTTGATCTAATCGACATAGTCCATCTGGGAGCTGTTTGCAAGTTTACAAGAAAGATTTGTGCAAGCGACCTACTCTGGGAAAAGTTATTTCTGGCTTACTGCGACACTGTCACCGATGAAATTAAGATTTTGGCAAGGCAACATGGTTGGAGAAAAGTGTTCTTCACAAACAAGCTGGATCTGCGAGTAAAATTGCGCAGAATGAAGATCAAATGAACAGTAAAGTGAGCTAACTACTTCAGAGACATTTTGGTGTCGGAGACCTTTGACATCGTTTCAAATTTGTTCTTGAGATCGGATATTACGCAGATTACTTGCCATTATTTAGATATCACGAATTCAGCATTTTCTACGTAAAATTACTAGGCAACTATCATATCTATATTTGATCTGTTTGCATTTTACACATAAATACCGTTCAATATTGCGTTTCTCATTGAGTGAAAAACATTTAAAATTACTATATTCAATGAAAACAAAGATCTTTTAGAAAACCTTAAAGCTTCTAGTATTTAAACATCCAAACAACTTTCTGAAATTCTGCGAAATTTATATTTCTATTTTAATCTTCAAAATCATTTTCCGTTGTTAATAAATTCTTTATCTTTTGACCCCAGTTGCTTCAAAGCCAATTATTTTTGACCCGCAGTTTCCATTACATTTGCAGTTGATATAAACATAAGTATCAATTTCTCATAACTTCGAAGTTTGTTAGTCCTAGGTCAGGGCCAGCCTGATTTGATTGCGCGTATCCTCCAAAGAAACTTAAAAACAAAGGGACCGAAGAGAAACACATATTTCGACTTCAGCAGACTTCATTTACAATATTTGTTTGCTCATTTCAGTGTCCCCATGTAATTAGCATAGCCGTGCAGAGCTAAACACTTCCACACGATAAAAATGTGATGTGTTAGGATAAAGGGTCGGTTAGCTACACGGGAAGGGAGGGAGGGTTAACCCTACTCACCGTGGTCCGGCCAGGCAATGTATTGTAACTGGACAACAACTCGGCTTCGCAAGCTCTGAAAATTCAAACAGTACACATGAATCAGTAAGTATGGCAAGGACTACGTCACGTGGAGTAAATAAGTAAATACTTATTTTACTTTAGCTTTTCCTTTTCGTTTCGTCCGGAACATTTCGAGCGGATCCGGAAAAAGCCGATGGCCTTAGACGAGTCACTGCGAAACTAAACGAGCGACAGGAGAGAGAACCTGGGATCAAGGTTGCATGAGCAGCAGGACCTGTACGCCCAGCAACACTGACCGGAAGTAAATGTTCTGTTTTCAAGTCATTCATCAAGTACCTTGGAGTCGGTGACGTACATTTCCCTGTAGATGTACGACGGTGAGAAGTCGCGAATTTTCGTGCAGATAATTTCCAGGTCTCCAAACGTAAGAGTTTCTTCTCCTTCTGGCCAATACTGATGACATTTTACCTAAAAATTATAAAACAAAAATTCAGAACTAGGGTTAGTTTTATTTGACCCAAATAGACCACATTAATTTCACGAACTGTGAGCAAAGGCTGCAACAAGATTGCATCCGACTCCGACTCAAGGTAAAAGCTAAATAAGAGCGACAAAAATGTCCAACTTACCCGGCCTCNATAACATTGTCAAAGTGGCTGTGGAACCACGAGCCACAGGCTCGTGATTCCGCAGTAAACTTTGACAATGATATGACGAAATTTATCATCAATAAGAGGACAGGCGCATAAAAAACTGACGTCAATTTGTTTTTCACAATAACAAGACCCCAGAATGGTCAAATGCCGGGAATAAATGAGGGAAAAGACGCCGTAAACTTGCCGTAAACAAAGATAGGTGAATTTTATTCAAAACGACACGAACATTGTCAATAGCTTTTCTCGCTTTTTGATTGGATACTTAAAAATGTCCATAAAATTTCATTGGTTAAAAAGTTGGCAGTTTGACAGCTGAAAGTTGGACTTGAAAACGTGTACAAATTAAAATTTTATCCGTCTGTACCCTTATTGATGATAAAAATGAGCCAATCAGCGCGCGAGAAATTAGACAGTTATTGTAAAATACCTCTCTGAGTTGCTCAATGGAAACTCGAAGAGCTTCGGTGTCCTTTGCGACTTCTTTCTCTTTGATGTGCTTGGCAATTATCCGTTCTTGTTCGTGTCTTTGTTCAGCTGCGCTAAACTGCTCTGGGCTTACAACATGAACTGGCGACTCAGCATCCCGTGAAGATGGGGTGAAAACTGAGGTACACAATTGAGAAATTGAAAAATCGATATCAAACTAAGTAGCATCAGCAGTAGCATGTAAGTAGCATCTGTAATCGTATTATATTGTAATATAGTATATAATATAGTATATCGTAGTATATCGTAAGGAGAACTGATAAATAATCGAACTGTATCGTAGAGTAAGTTATGCAAGTTGTAGTATTGGAAGTAGCATTTGTAATCGTATCGTATTGTAAATAGTGTAAGTAGTGTAAGAAGTGGTAAGTAATCACATTGTATAACATGTTTTGTTAGTACTGTAGGGGAGTTTAGTAATTGTATTACTGTTGTAAATTGTGTAAGTAGCCGTACCACTGTTGAATGAACTAGTGTGAATCACAATTAAAATGTTTAAAAAACTTTAAAAAAAAAAAAGATTTCAAACGCTGCAATATTAAGTTGGTTATAAGTCAGTGAACGAGCGAGAGGACATAATTCAAAACTACTCAAATGAAAACATTTCCTGCAAATGGTATCACTTTCAATCCGACAGAAATTTTGTGGCGAGTTTAAGAAACGTTTGATCTCTTTTCTTTGTCAGGCTTTATGAAAACGAAACTGTTTTCACCGGAATGTGCGACAGAACTGGCTGTATAAGCTAACGTTGAAAAGAGATATACAAAGACGTAACACCTCTCCTCACCGTTGGGTCTTATCGTCATGATAAGCAGTCTCCGGTTGGATTTACTGATCGTTCTGATGAGATCCACAATCTGAAAATAGAGCAAAACACTTCAGTATATATATGAAATCATGGCATTACAGAACTTACTATCCCAGAAGCCGTTGTGTGTAGTGAAGATCTTTTCGGTAGTCGTGTATTAAACCGTCCATTCACAAATAAAGACGAGATATGTGTCACCGCTTACACAGACTAACACATCAATAGGCCCTTTGCACGATCCGGTCGTTACACAGTGGGACTTCCAAAACAACGGAACTCGCATCAGTCCAGCCCGACTTTCCTTTGTTTTGAAAGTCCCACTGTGGGCCTATTTAATCTCAAGTTGTAACTCACAAACAACACTCCGAGCAATGCTGTGAGATATCAGCAAAATGCCGTGGAATAAGAGGTGGGGACCGAGAAAAATAGAAAATATATTCTTCGATTGGCTCTCTTTGCTCGTTTTCCCGACCCCACCCCGTCGTGCTTCGCATTCGCGCTCGCTTTTTCCTTCGCGTGTGTTGAAAAATAGGGAGGCTGTGAAAAGTCTCTTCGGAACTGCCGTTGAAAAAGTAAATAGTTAACAGCAGGGAGAATTTACATTTTGATCCCGGAGATAAAAGAGACGGAATGAATCATAACAAACACAGTACTTCCTGATGTGGTAGCTCCTTGACTATCCTGCCATTTATGTGGACAATTTCGTCTCCCTCTTGTAGTTGCGGCATACACATATCCGCCTAGAGATGAAGAGCTCGTCATTAGGAAAATAAACAACTTACAATCAATCAAAAGACTGTGTGATAAAACAGAACACAACAACAACAAAAACAACAACAAAAACAACAACACGCATGGTGTGTGTGGACTCCGGCATGTGTATATGCTGTGAAAATCAGTTCAAAGTTTTCCAATCGCATAGTTATCAGTTTTATTAACATAAATGTTTATGGTATTAATTACTATAATATTGAGCTGAATCAGAAGTTTTTAACGCTATTATAAACTTTCGATGGAACTCAAGAATCTTTATGGACTCTTTGTAGATGCAGGAACAATTATAATATTGATGCAATATTACAATATTGCTTGAGTGTTCACAAGATAAAAGACTTACCGGCATTCCCCGAGCGATCTTTGACACAATAACCGGCAAGTTGATATCTGCACCTCCCTAAAAAGACACAGCCGTTATCTTAAACTGGCAGTATAATAAAGTAAATATCTTTCACGGCTGTAAAATATTCTGCGTCTTACAAACTTGACAACATGCATCGTTGCAGAAAGGTTGCGGTAAAATATTCAGTTACCTGCACGTTAAATCCAAACCGTCCCTGCTCATCAGGTTCCATTCTGGAAGAAAAATTGTAACCATGATTACAAAAACGTCAATGGTCTACTGTAAAAAAACTCAACTGAAAGCGGCAATCTGCAAGATTTATCAAGAAAAGGAAAATTAACTGAAGGCTGGAAAGATATTGTTTTCAACGGGAACAAACGAAGTGCACCCAACGTTAAACCAAATCAACGTTTACTGTTCAGTTGAAAAAAACTTCTAGAACAAAACGTTCCTCTCAACAATAATTGTTTTACCTTACAGTCATAAGACCTTCTTGATTAGCAGAACCATTTCTCTGTAGAAAAAGTTAGTAAACACAATTGAAAGTGGCACGAAATAATGCAATAGTCAGCTTCACCACAAAAATTCATAAACCATGTAATGCATACCTTCGCAGCAATAAAAAAGTTACATGTGAGGTACTNCAACGTTAAACCAAATCAACGTTTAATGTTCAGTTGAAAAAAATTTCTAGAACAAAACGTTCATCTCAACAATAATTGTTTTACCTTACAGTCATAAGACCTTCTTGATTAGCAGAACCATTTCTCTGTAGAAAAAGTTAGTAAACACAATTGAAAGTGGCACGAAATAATGCAATAGTCAGCTTCACCACAAAAATTCATAAACCATGTAATGCATACCTTCGCAGCAATAAAAAAGTTACATGTGAGGTACTGATTTCTAACGCTTAACCGATATGTTATCCTTGATATCCTGGAGTCATCGAAGTTATCTTCAAATTAATCGTCTGCCCGGTCCCTAATTCAAATATTTCGCCGGTACATATCCCCCTTGGGGGCTCAAGGCATTCAGCCAAGCAAGTCGTCCTCAAAATAATAGGGAACCAAGATAACACTGAGGTAACAATACTGAAAGAAACTGAAGAGAAATAAAGGTGGCCAAGATTGGGAAGTTTGAAAAGGGTTATGAAAGTGTTAATACTGAAGTATTTCTAAATGTTCGCGAAGAGGAACTTGAAAAGTCGCGGTTTCCATAACAGGAAGAATGTCTATTTAAACAACAGCTCCCCTAGCTACGATCACATCCTTCCGGGGAAATGAGTGAACAAGAGAAAAGAGAGACATAAGGAAGTTTTCCTCCTCTCGCGACGGGCATTTTAATTATCCGAGCCACAAGAAAAGATAGCTGCATGTACAAAACAGCTTGATTGGCTAAAATGACTGAAAAAAAATTACAGGCCTTTTTCAAGCTAGGAATATACTGCACCAGAGAGCAAATTGTTTACAGGTGTGCACGAAGCAGTAGGTTAAGATAGTGTATGGAAAACAAACAATGACAATAAGTATACAACGCATGAAAAGAAAACAACATCGTGTAGAATTGAGCCAAAAAGGGAAAGGCGAACCCAAGGCAAAGCGAGAAAAAAAAATCAAGAAATGGCTACAATTTTAAGATTACATGGGTGCACCATGTATCAAAGTCGATAAAGGGGGAAGCTTCTTCTCCAATACATACCGACCGTGACCTACAGCCAGCTGTATCTTCCTCCATATCAGAAGTAAATGAGTCGTTCGAAGAAATACTTTTTCGCTAAGCCACAGAGAAAGACAAGGAGAGAGAGAAAGAAAGATAGCAGAACAGTACGGTATATATAAGAGGTGTTCAGACGTAGAGAACAGTACAAAATATATAGAAGAGGTGTTCAGAAGTTCTACAGTCTTTACTCCGCTAGATGTAAGTCAGAATTAAAACCTGTGCGTCATAGTCAACAATCACAAGAAACAAATGAAAACACGTGACGCACACGAAAAAGCGCGCTTTCCTTTTCTAAGACTGCATAGACCACAGCAGCTACACAACACTGAATTGGGGGGGTCAGTGGTATCAAAGAAGTAACGCTAGATATACATGAAATTAGCACACATGGGCTAAATACATTGACCCTTAAATAAAGTTATGAAATAGACTAAGAGGTTAATTATGGCAAAAAGTCATCTTCTGAAAGTATCTCAACTACTTTTGACACTTATTGTTGCGCTAAGTTGATTTATAAACATACCTCACTTTGTCTTGACACAACACTTCAGACAGGTAATCTTAAGCAAACAGTACAAGGTACAGTTATTCCCCTCACCTGTAATTCTGGCGTGAGGGCGGGTTTTAGTCGGCTCATGTGCGCATCGTCAGCCATTCCAAGGCTCTTGCTTCTAACTAACGAGTGATTCATTCTAATGAGGTAAGATTAAAAACAGCAATTAGCTTATTGGTGCTATGTACTTTGTGAAAAAAATACCATTGCTAATATTTCCTCGTCCCTGGTCAGTTCTAAGATGCATCTGCTTGAAGTGAAGTGTTAGCAAAAGTACAGTGTGGACCTTATTGGGGACACGACATCAAAATTACCAACTTGACAACTTATTTTTGTCAGAGCTAGAGATTATCTAGAAACTCAGGAAGTGCCCATGACTGGCCACACTATACACCCTTGGAAATAAACCAAAGAATAACACAAAAAGAGACACAATGCTTACTTGTCAAAGCTTGATGGCATAGAGGATGAATAATTAAGACCAGTTGACTTGTCACTGAACACCACATCGTCCTTGTCAAACACATGATCAAGATCGATTCTCCGCCGAGAACCTGTGAACAAAATAACAAGTTCATACAGTAAAGTGCGAGACACATTTGCAGTGGATTTAGTTCCATAGTCATGTTATTTGTGTTATTCACAGCACATTTTACACAATCTGGATAAAGGATCTTTTTATAGCTTTTAGTATAATTCTGTACAGATAATTAATTTAGTTAAATTATTTGATTAGTNAGAAAAAAGAAAAAAATTTCATTGGTAACCACATTTATCATTGTTCAAGACATCTTCAGATAAACTAGTGCTGTAACAAACACCTGGGGTGGATACAGGATGTTAGAGAAGGGGGTTCGAGATGCGAACCACCCAAGCCACTTCCCTGTAGGGGGTCTTGGGGCTTCCTTCCCTGCAAAATGTTTAAAATTGAGGTCCTTTCAATTTAGGAGGTTTGACCAAAATACCCTGAACACCCCCTAGATCCATCCCAGAACACATGCCATCATCATGAGTTTGCTGTATATTAGGACAAAAGTGATTATATAAAAAAATATTCATTGCAACTAAGCACCAAGTCTTTTGCACACCAAACGTCCCTGACCAGATATCAACCAGTAATATCAAGATGAATTAAATATGACATGAATTTAGTTAGTCTTTACCACTTTTTGTTTAGACATGCCAACAGACTGCCAGATGTTTCACTTTCCACACCAACACCTTGTGTATGCATAACTCACTATAACTCAGCCCTTTAATAGCTTCTGTTATGCTTGTGATATTGCATGTTATAGTGCACTGTGAGTAGAAATTACCTGTATCTGTATTTAGAGCCAATCCTAACCAATGTACTTTTGCTGTTGCTTGGTTTGGGGAAATGAGTCCTTAATCAAGACAAATATAGCAAATAAATACTACAAGAAGTGAAATTAACAGAGGGTATTAAAAATTTGATTTCCTAGTAAAAAAAATTGACCAAAATACTGAAATATCTTGACACATGTCACTTTAAAACTAACCTGTAGAATGTGTGATACTCTACACATGTTTTCCAAAGTGTTTTGCATGCTCTGTAAGTTGGCATGTGGAAACCAATGACATTGTCGGTCCATTCATTCTGAAAAAAAATCATTTATAATATACAGGCCAATATTAACATTAAAAGTCGACCTTTCAGAGTCATCACGACACCATTCTCAAGGCAAACTGAAGATTTGATTTCTATACAGTCTCTACAAATTAGAATGGTGTCACTATCACACCGAAACATTGGCTTTAAAGGTTAATATTTGCCTGCTTATGTTTTAAGAAATCGGTATTGATCAAGACTCTAAAATACAAATTCATTTATCTATTTATTCATTATATAAACTCATTACTATACATTTATAAAAGATATACCGGTATATAAGTGTGACGAAGATAATTGCAACAAAAGCAATCAAAACCATGGATCCATGCAGTCTGAAGTAAATTAGAGATATTTTCTGTAGTCTATTGGGAATGGTACACTGTTTAAATAAAGGGTCTTTTTAGTACAAAGAATTCTTACCCAGTCAGGTCTAATCTGAACAAAAAATCTTTTCCTTTTGAAGCAAACTTTGACAACTTTTGACCTGCAAATTAAAAACCAAGAGTGAATTACTTTCGTGGGGCAATGAATCATTGAACATAAAGTTTGATACAACTGCATGATTTCTGAGCCACACACAGTGGTTGTTCTTGAGATGCAGAAAATATTTACATACCATGGAAAGAAGTTTATTTTACATCTGTTGTGGTAGACAGTCAAACCAAGTGGGGAAATGCCAATATGCAGATCAAGACCATCATGGTCCTGAAATGGAAACAAAACAATTCTGTCTAAATTCTTCAGCATANAAAAATAACCAAAATACTGAAATATCTTGACACATGTCGCTTTAAAACTAACCTGTAGAATGTGTGATACTCTACACATGTTTTCCAAAGTGTTTTACATGCTCTGTAAGTTGGCATGTGGAAACCAATGACATTGTCGGTCCATTCATTCTGAAAAAAAATCACTTATAAAATATACAAGCCAATATTAACGTTAAAAGTCGACATTTCAGCGTCATTGTGACACCATTCTCAAGGCAAAGTGAAGATTTGATTTCTATACAGTCTCTACAAATTAGAATGGTGTCATGATGACGCTGAAACGTCGTCTTTTAAGGTTAATATTCACCTGCTTATGTTTTAAGAAATCGGTATTGATCAAGACTATAAAATATAAATTCATTTACTTATTTATTTATTCATTATATATATTCATTACTATACATTTATAAAAGATATATATAAGTGTGACCAAGATAATTGCAACAAAAGCAATCAAAACCATGGATTTATACAGTCTGAAGTAAATTAGAGATATTTTCTGTAGTCTATTGGGAACGGTACATTGTTTAAATAACGGTTCTTTTTAGTACAAAGAATTCTTACCCAGTCAGGTCTAATCTGAACAAAAAATCTTTTCCTTTTGAAGCAAACTTTGACAACTTTTGACCTGCAAATTAAGAACCAAGACTGAATTACTTTTGTGGGGCAATGAATCATTGAACATAAAGTTTGATACAACTGCATGATTTTTGAGCCACACACAGTGGTTGTTCTTAAGATGCAAAAAATATTTACATACCATGGAAAGAAGTTTATTTTACATCTGTTGTGGTAGACAGTCAAACCAAGCGGGGAAATTCCAATATGCAGATCAAGACCATCATGGTCCTGAAATGGAAACAAAACAATTGTCTAAATTCTTCAGCATACATTTTCTACAAATCTGACACTGATCAGTGGCAGAGGAGGCAGAAGGAAACAGTCTGTGATATAAAGGCTCTACACCACAGAAGGTCAATCAGACCTGGAATCCATGACGCATAAAGAAATGAGGCCCACCACATGCACAGGTGGTGTTGTGGCTTGCAGGGAGCCTTGTTGTAGCGAAGGAAGAGTGTGATCCTGTTTCACACACAAATTAATAACAAAATTCGATAAATAATAAATAATAACAAAATTCGAGTATCACATGTACTTTCAGCTACTGTTGACAATGGCTTTTAATAAATTTGCACGCGTAATAATGTCTTTTAGTTGCTTTTGTACATGCGTCACACGCTAATTTTCCAGTTCCCTCTTTGCGTGACATGTATAAACCCTTTGCCACCCTCATAATACATGTACATGTAGGTCCACAGCCAAACTGAGATGACAAGCTTAAGTGGTAGATGACCTATGAATCCACCCCCACCCCCACCCCCCACCTGGCTGCCACCCCCTAGGATACTGAGGATTAAGTCATTCACTGTCAAGTAAGTCGCACCTTAGCAAAGTGAAGGTCCACACCATACAAATCCAAGTTTTTTGCTACTTCAAGGAAATTGAATTCAGCATCTGCTGGACTTTGGCCACTGTAAAATGACATTAATTTCAGGTTGTTTCCATATGACTAACATTTAGGATTTACTCAGGTATAACAAAATAATTATCATAAATTTTGTTACCTGTGATGCTTATGAAATTCTGATGCCCTTTCTTCAAAATCCTCCGACTAAAAGAAAACAGATGTTTACAGTCATGATTAATTTAAAATATGCACAGTTAGAAAATGCTTTGATAATAAAATTATGATATTTTTGGGCGAGACTGGCAATTCCCAACATGTAGTGAAGGCACTGGGAATTGTCAATTTTCAGTCTTGGAACCACAGACTATAACAAATACCCGAAACACAACAATGTAACTATGAGCAGGAAAAGCTTCAAAATATGAAGAAACAGTTCAGACCTGATCAGGTATAAATCGAAACTCTGACACATAAGAGCAATCAACCATGATCTTAGGATCAAAGTCTCCAAGTTCACCTGTAAATAAACAACAAAAACTTTATTCAGTTGCACAAAACATCATATTTGGATTGAATTCTGTCTCTGATAATAAAACTGACCACAGTTAAATTAGAGGCAGATGTAAACAATTATGTGCTACATAATGTATCAGCTTCCCTAGATTGAATAAAAACTAAGATTTTATGTGACAAGATGCGTTTTTTCCATCTGTAGTAGACTGTTCTTCTCTCCTATTGATAAAGTTTATTTGACTTTTTTTTTCATATTTCAAAGCATGAAAAATTGCTTTGCAGGCATAATATCAAAATTCTGAAAGGCATGACTAGGCATCAGTGAGACTCATTCAATGAATATACAATTTAGGCTTGTTCAGGCATACAGCTGTATAGGAAGGGACCTGTCAATTGGCACAACTTAAATTACATATAGTTCTGCTCACATTTTGTAGGTGAACAATAGAGAAAATGACTGACAAGAAAAACACTGCAGGAGCAACTTTTTCTTACCCTGAAGCACATAAGAAGCTAACTCTGCTGCTGTGTCATAAAGGCATGGCAACCTGCAGCAAATGCACAATGTTTTATCATGCATTTGAATTTTAATAAAAATAATAATAACAATTTAAATTATAATAATAATTATAATAAATTATAATAATAATAATAATAATAATAATAATATAATACTGACTTGTGTAGAAAACAACAAAATAAAATAACTACGTGTAAGTTAATGTAAACCATAGTATAATACTAAATTTCAAAGTGCACCTCTGCTAAAGCTGTAATTGTTAAATTGTAATTAAAGTAACTTTAAAGGGACTTAACATTTACCTTCCAGTCAATAGGTCTCGTTTTATTTGAAGATAAAACTGATATCTGAAATTTTTAAGTAATAATAGCAGCAGTTAATGTTTGTTATAATTAAAATATATATCAATATACTTGAAAGCAGAAGTTCTGTTGCACTTTTAAATAATTCAAAAGTGCAACATGACTTCCTATTATTATTAACATGACTTCCTATTATTAAAATAATCAAGTCTGATCAACAGTGTTGATCGGATTTTCAAGTCATGTGACTATGAAACTGGATGTTGAATATAGAAAAGAAAATGGAAAAGAAAACAAAATGGAAGAAACATTTGCCATATGCATTATGGTTTCTAATATTATACATGCTAATTAATTAATAATGAATTAAATACTTTTTATTAATAGTATGCTCACCTTGTGATATCCTCAGAAAGTTTAGAGGGATCTGATGCAAAAAATCTCACTCTAAAATAAAATATGTAGGGTGGACCACCTACGTATTGTAAAACATAAAGATGCAATAGTCATTATAAGTATTTGTAAAATAACTAACAAAAGATACCTGTACTCCAGGCATTCTTATTGGTCGATAGGTGTGTTTAGATGAGAGTATATTAACACGGTTGTGACAGTACAGATTTGCGTCTATATTTGAGAAATATTTTATAAAAGCAATAGTCAGCAGCTGAGAGTACTTTTTCCATGTACTTACATAGCCTCCCTTGTCTAAACACTTGAGAGGCTGGGAGAGTTCTTAAAAGTTCAGCAAATCCGAGATGTAGTCGACAGTTTGCATAACTATCTAAAATATATTTAATTTTGCTTAAATATGTTTATAAAAATAATGTATTTAATGTGTGATCAAATTATTAATAGTATAATTGGAGTCATTGATTAACTGCTACATACGTTTGAGTTGTTTCCTGATCTGCTTTTCAGAATTGAGCCATTGCTGTTTAAAAGGAAAAAAAAAAAAACAGAAAGGCAATAAATGGCAATATTGTAAATTCAAAACTTATGCAAAATTTCATTGTTTCTAAAAAGTACAGCAAAATAGTAACACTTTTATCAAATTAAGAGGGTAATCAAAATAAATATTGCATAATACTAACCAAGTTATCAGGAGAGTCTGCAACATATTGAAGACCAAAGAAATGTTTCTCCAGTAAGTCAAGATGCTTGAAGACAGCTTCTAACAATACTTCACCCTTGGAGTGTTTCTACAAAGAAACACACACATTACTAAAGTGACATGTTACTTCAAATAAATAAATTTAAGAAAAAAAGCAAAAACAAAAACAAAAAAAACAAAAAACAAAAAACAGCAACAATAACAACAACAATAACGATCACTCCTCAGTGGGATTTAAAGGGTTAACGGATTACTTAGATATCACATGGCTATATGGGAGAATCAACTTTATGCTGAAACATCACATGTACTTATCAAGGGGACTTAGTTTAGTTTTCAACCACACCGCTGGGAGCCGTGCCAAGCTGAACCACACAGCCTGACCTTTATTAACATAAGAACATAATTGTCTTACAATGACACAAAAAAGTGGCTAGAGAATAATTTCACCTCAACTTAACACATTCTACAAGTACTTCACGGGTGGGTGGTGGGGCATGTCAGGCAATGGCGGATGGCAAAACAAAAACTGAGACCATGTGTGAGAAAAATGTTTTTCGCTTCTTTCATTCCTCAGCCAACGGAAAACCACACTTTAGACTAGTGCCCTAGGCTGGATGAATATCTATTACAGGTAGATGTGATTTCTAACTTCGCAGTACATGTACCCTGATTTGGTAACATACTGATACATGTACAGTGTAGTACAGTAACACTCTAGCATGCAGTTTTCATTCACGTCTAATTAATCCCCAGTCCACAATATGGAGAAGAAATATTTTGAATGTGCAGCAATCATCAGTCATTTTGGATTTGTGCTTGAGGAAGACTCAAGCAGGGAAATCACCTGATTATTGTGACTTAAACACTTTCGAAAAGCTCAATTTTCCAAATGTTTTCTGGCCTGAATTTTCAATTTCTTCAGCTTAGTGTGGACAGGTCCCAAATTCATTGTTAAATGCAACATTAATATTCTTGATTACCTTAAACCTTGAAATATAAAACATCAATTGCCTTTTTTTACGAATGTCACGCATGTGTGAGGAAAGATTTATATGTAAAACAGTTGATGAAGTGTGTCCGAAAAAGATGTTTATTTATTAAATAATGTTTGTTATAATAAGTTTATGTAGCCAAAAATATATTGATAAACAGAACACATTGCCTTCACCCAAATAAGAGTGGTCATCAAATAAATTGCAAACCCCCTTGAATAAAAATTTTTGTTCAGATTTTAAATATTTATAATTTGTAGGATTTTTCTCATTAAAATACATTTTCCCAAATAAAGAATGATGTAATATGAAGATTCATCTGCGTGGAAGAAAATTTTAATAACATTTTGATTTAGTACAAAACTCAGAATTTTCAATAACTAGTAATTAACCAATTTTACTGAAATCCATGCTCGCAAGAAATGTCTGCAACATGACACCAAAATAACGTAATGTCGGCTACGTGAAATCGGAAGCGAGAAAATCGTGTCAATACGTTCACGGGGTGGACAAACACATTGAAATGAATGCCCAAAAGTCAAATTACAAATCAGAATTTAATTTCCCTCGAAACGACCACTTTTTATCTCTTACTTCAAACAAAGACCAAAAGGCAAAGTCAAGGTGTGAAAATATGCGACATTGCTCCTGACAGCTTCATTGTCAAAAGCATTCTCGGACTTCCTTCACTTCTCAAGATTTTTTAATAGATAAGTAAAATTAAAAATACCAGAGCAGTACTGAAGCCTTTCCAAGCGTCATTTAAAGTTAGATGTTTTTCGAGGACTATGTAACTTTTCCCTAATTCTTGTGTTTACTTTATAAACACATTTAACTCGATCAAAATCTCTTTAATTCCATGAGATGTTTGACAAAACCGGATTGCTTTGGTGGTTTTCCCCCGCGTCATGGCTAGAATCACTTATTGTACATGGGGAGATTTCCAGCTAAGAGCAATCTCTGACAAGCAAATCAAAGACTTTCCAAATATACCAACGAGATGTTGTTCAACGGCGATAATAATAATGTTTTATTCGCACGCTGGGTTTCAAAAAGCACCCTTCTAAATAGAGTTAATTGGAATCATGACCTAAAATTAGCGCACAATTTCAAAACAGAAACCTGTCCTATTTTGCACGTAAAGAATTTAATTGTTTCGTTAATAAGTTGTGAAGATATCCTGAAACAAGGGCGTGTAGCAGGTAAATAACGAATTTATTACCCATACTAAACTTGGCTTAGCGGCTGCTTAGCTGGAGAGCACTATCATCGATACAAGGTCTCCAAACGAACTCACAATCACAGCTAACGACACAACAGAATATCTCCATCGAATTCTCAGCTACTTAACAGTAAATACCATTTACTTACGTCAATATCAATGACAAATTCTGAATCATCTAAAAGTTCCACCACACAGCGGATTTTGTTGGGAGTCGTATTCCCGCTTCGCGCTAGTTCCGAGCCTCGCACGCTATAGATTCCGCTTTGAGAACCAAGCGATGTGGGACGAAATCTTCGTGACATTGAGGCGTACGATGAACCAAACCCTCTCACATAAGTCACAGTTGTCTATCCTTTAGAAGAAAGGCAATCGATCTTGAAAATGATAAACGAACTGGCTGATATCTTCGTTTGTATTTTGTTGGTAGAAATTTGTAATCATCAGCGACAGTCATCATCAGCAGTGTCAGCAGTTGTAAATCATTCTACGTCACGTGGTTCTGTAAAGGATGATTGCGGGCGCGTACATTGGAGGATTTCAAAATGGCGGCGATCGCTCGCGATTCTTCGAGATTTGCGGGAGTGAAAACCTTTAGCGAGAAGTTTTCGCAACCTGAGGTGGATGCAGAAGGAAGAGTTAGGAAGGTTGGTATCAATATGAGTGAGTTTTTATAGAATGAAACTGCTGACAAGTTTTCCTTATCGTAAAAGTTTCCGAGAAGAAGGTTGTAGGAACGGGGTGTTTTGGTATTTCCGGTGAGTAAGAGATGCAAACACTCCTGTGAAGAGCTTGCCCACACATGTACAGTTACTTGTAAATAGTTCAAGTGTCAGCGAGCGGATGTTGTGATTGGATCCTCTGCTTTGGGCCGGAAGGCGCATTAGCTCGTACGTGAACGGAAGCGACTCCTAAATTTGTGGGTGTATGCTTATTATTCATCTTGCTTGCTTCAGTCCACCCTTTGTTCTGTTTCCCGTTCAAAACACGAAGTTGTTCACCTCACCTATTCTCACCTATTTTATCTTATCTTTTACTAACTTATGATTTTTATTGTATATATACATATTGTAATTATTTATTACGTGCTTTTATTATGTTATTTTAAACTCCTAGTATAGTTCCACTGTTTAAGGAGTATACTTATTAAAGACTTAAAGACTCAGCTATACTTATAATCATTACGAAGTACATCATTAGGTTCTCATATTAGTCAGATGTTCATGTTTAAGGACTGTGATCGATTTCTTCTTCCTAGTAAGCTCACTTGCCTCTTCCAACAGTGAAAATGAGTAACCTTACATATTTGTGTAAGCTTTATCAGAATTTTGCCCAGAACTGAATTAGTGTGAGTAGAAGAGCAAAAATGGTTAGTTTGATGTAAACAGATGTAAAATGTTAAGTTAGAAGTATGCAGATATATTTTTGCAGTTTTCTTTAGAATTCCACTGTTTTTTGAAGTAAAAGTGGATCATGTGTACTAGTGTATTGGCATCTGCAGTCGAGTCTCGATTAGTACTCGATCGACATTACAATCGATACTCAGTCAATACTCGATTGACAGTTGATCAACAGTTGGTCCATAGTCCACCAAGTTTCAACTGACTCATATGCATCAATCAAAAATTAGTTGACTGTTGACCCACTACCAACCAAGATGTCAATAGAATGTCGATTGAGTGTCAACCTAGGTGTTATGGAGTGTCAATCAACTATCAATCGAGTGTCGATTGAGGGTGCCGATCCGGGGTATCAACCAACGCTCGGATGCCTTTAGTATACCTGATCCATAGAATTTATGAAACAGTGACAAAAAACCCCATGAGTTTCTGAGAGAGACAAGAGAATTATATCACAGACAACAATTACACCAGTCTGCATGGTACAGATTTTACACTCATATAAATTGACATTAACTCATAGCTGCCAACCTGAGGAAGTCTCAGTCCTTTTGCCCAAGGACATCTCTTGTCAGACCCCCAAAAATAGACAAACAAAAACTCCTCCAGTGAAGCAGTAATAAGTCAATTTTGCATATTGGCAAGGATGTGCTGGGAGAAAAATTGAATAGAGTCCTTGTTCCCCCAGTTATTAAAGTCAGGGTCAGCCAAGCACAGTAATTAAAACTGTCTAAAACTGTGTTGAGATGGAATTATTTTTCCAGCCCATTATCCCCTGAGGATTATGGACGGAAGTGAATGACTAGTAAAATGAAGTCAATGTATCCTCAATCAATAGTGATTCTTGTACAGCAAATTTATCCTACAGAGATCAAAGCTAGGCAAAACGTGTGTCCTTCATTTTGGTTCTTTGGGCTCTAACAAATATATATAATGGATTGAAGCATTTTGTTTTGAGCCACTTTGCCTTGCAGGTGTCCTGCGCTGTTTAACTTTTTTGATTTCATATGCAGTGCAACTTGCAGTTACAACTTGTGTGTACATTGATTGGCCAATCATACATCATACAGCTGTAAAATCTTTTGTAGCCTCTCATGTGTTTGATATTTTGTCTGTGAAGGTGGAGACCCGTGAAGATGAAGAGCAGAATGTTAAAATGGCTGAAACCGTTGAGCTTCTTCTTGCTGCGGGATATTTCAGGGCAAGAATCAAAGGATTGTCGCCATTTGATAAGGTATTGGTAAAATACAAGTAACTTGTGTGCTCTTGCAGTGCTTTCAATAAGATCCAGCAAAATTGGCCTTCTAAAGGAAGTTGTTTGGAGTCTCTCTGACTGCTCTCTGACAGAGGCTACTCCAGTGCAGCCGTGTTGGTCAAATGTCATTGAAAGCACTGTTCTTGTCATGCTTCTAAATCAGCTGTTCTGACAGAGCTAACCTGGTTATTGTAGTAAAGTGACTGATGCCTCATTTTACTACTTACAAGTGTATCCTTTTTTCCTGCACTGTTGTTATTTGATTTCCAGGTTGTTGGAGGTATGACATGGTGTATTTCAGTCTGTGATTTTGATATTGATGTTGATCTGCTATTCCAAGAAAATTCAACCATTGGCCAGAAGATGTAAGTTTTGCAACTGCATGAGTATGCGATATAGGTTTGATTTCACAGTCTCCCTGTACCTGGAGATGAACTCCTCTTGCTAGTTACCTATACTGTATAGTTACCTATCCTGTATAGTCCTACTTGGAAGTATAGCATCTAGGAAATGGCTACTGAATCAGATTCCACAAATTATATAATATAGCATTATAACACCAATCCACTAATTGTCCAAGGTGCTTCACAAAATAGAGCTCAAAAAGGCTCTTTCACCATAGGTTTTCAGTCAAGCTTTTGGAGTTGCCAGAAGTTCTGAGATGATCTTCAGCAAGCATGAAGAGCTTTGATATTTAAGCTTTTTACATTTAAGAAATCAAAAACATTTCTGTGTTTAGAGTTATACATGTAGAAACGTGAGTGGAAGGTTGAGAGAACAAGGAATGCTGTGGTAGCATGAGCCAATAGGCAAGTGTTTTCACAGCTTTCTGGAGTTCTCCCAAACTTTTACAATAATTGTATCTATAACTCAATGAAAGCACCACAAAAATTGTTTTCTGTCTTTTTAAGAAAACAGCGCAAGGAAAACAACAAACAAAGTGTCTATGATAACTTTTATCTGTTTTATCAAGTTATAGAAACAAGTCTTTGAGCCAATCAGTGCACATATTTTCTCTGGGCTTTATGCATTTGCTAATTAAGCATACATGTACATACAATTATTTGTTTTCCAGAGCTTTGACAGAGAAAATTGTTGCAGTTCTTCCACGTATGAAATGCCCTCACCGCCTGGAGCCTCACCAAATTCAAGGCTTGGATTTCATCAGCATTTTCCCAGTGATACAGGTTATAACTCATTTGTTGAATCAATCACGAATCTTTGTGCTGGTTTTGGAAGTGTGTTGTTTTCAATGGATTCTAAAATTACATTCATTTTATGTACTGTAGGTTTTCTTCTGTCTTTTGTGTGATACCCAATGGCAGAAAGAAAATTAGCCCAAAAGAGTGTTATATTATTGTAGTTTCTACTTTGTGTTGTATTGGATTATCTTTTACTTTATTCATTGTTTCTTTTTTTCCTTTAGTGGTTGGTAAAGAAAGCAATTGAGAGGAAAGAAGAAATGGGTGATTACATTCGAGAGTTTTCTGTCTCACAGTTCAACAAGTCTCACTCAACACCACAGGTACGTACACAACAAACATGTAATGTCGTCTGAGTGTGTACACCAAAAAAAAGCTATTCACCATCATGACTAGTTTGCTTTTGATAATCTTATGCTTAAGCAGAAGGTTTCAGTGAGGAGGTTAATACATTTTAACTTTAAAAGGTTGAATTTCACTTTTCAGTTAAAGATCTTAGTCGCACCATTTCTGCCAGTCATTATTTTTTGCATTAATTTGGATAATTTTGAAATTTTAATATTCAAGTCGTCACAGAACTTTGTGTTATGCAGTGAATTGGTGATTCTCATGTTGACTTTTTGATATAGTTTTATGCTTACCTTTGTAATAAGTTTAGATTTTGGCTATTATTGTATAGGTACAATATAATGCATTGTAATGCATATAATGCATTACAATGCATTTTTATTGACATATAATATTTTCTATTTGAATTCAAATTTTGGTGCCATGGAAATTGTATTATAGGTATTATAGAGGACGGCCACAGGTTTATTAGCTTTGGCTATTTAGTGCAAACCTCCTTAAATAAAGTCTTTTCTCTACTTACTTTACTTTACTTTCCTTAGTGCTGTTGTAAAATGTCCTTTCACTGATTTGCTGTTTTCTTTTTAGGACATTGAATTTCTTGCAAAGAAACCAAAGTGTATCAGTGGAATGAAAGGTCTTAAGGTTAGTTGAGTTTGGTGTTATTAATTAATTAATTAACTACTAATATTAATCATAAATAATCACTTGTAATTACTCATAACTAATTGAGAATAGTTAGTAATTAATGAATGGGGTGATGTTCCCAAGCTCCACAGACAACTTTCCTCCAACACTCTCTGTCCTCCATCCTGCATTGACTGAAAGCCAGTGTCAGCCCTCAATTAATTAATTAATTAATTACTGTCACCTGGGTGCTTTTCAATGGAGCCCTGATACATATTAAGTATATTGCAAGTTTAAGGTTATTAATTACCAGATTACCCATCAAGGTTTATAACAAATGTTAGCCACCNGGTGATTCACTCATCCTCGTCGGCCAAAAAGAGACCGAGGTAAAACTAGGTCGTTTTCTTTAGCTGTACTGGATTTTTGCTCTCTGCTGGTCCGAGCATGTCCCTGTTGAACAGTTTCTTCATTTGCTCAGTGGAAATTGGTTTCTTGTGGACTACGCCAGCAATGCTGCTCGTCTTGATGAGGTCTTTTACAAATGCTCCAATACTTTATTTGCCTCAGTAAAATCAGGAGTCAGAGATTATGGAAAATGGTTTTTGAGCGGTGGTGAGCGAAGGAAACGATCAGTGACGGCCCTCAAATGGATTTCATTGATGAACTTTTGTAAACTGACATGCCATGTTTCTTCCTCGTAGACATGTAAAAACTCTTCAGAAAAACATTGAGTTCTTCTTTTGACATTTCTTTTATTGATTTCAAAAATTTGGTGCCACCAGAACTAGCAAGCCATTCAGTATCGTAAAGGTAAAAAAATGTGTAAAATCTTGACATTCATATTTGAAATTTTGCAACTTTTAAGGGAAACTTAACAGATACGTACCATTGAATTATCTCATCCCAAACTTTGTGGCTTTTTTGATGTTACTGGGACGGCATTGTCTGTAATTTCTTGCATTTATTCTGTAGATAACTCACCAAATCTGTTCTTTCATCCAATTTTTTATCGACGAAACTTGGCTTCCCACAAAAATTTTATGCGGAGCAACATTTGCCGCATTCATTTCCATATAAGGTCAAACGCAGGTATAATGGCTGGTAACCGAGATCCAGTGAACCAATCAGAAAGCTAGAATCGAATTATCTGAGGCTTAGAATTTAATAATTATGTTTATTCTATTTCCACTTGACCTGGTTGTGCTGTGGTGTTTTCATTACAGGCAGTATGGCTTCAGCAAAGAGCAAAGAGATAAGGTAAGTCATTAACATATATTAACATACAGTATTCAAATCTCAAAATATTAATTCTCCTTATTGATTATCATGCATTTCTTTCAATGTCAGTAGTGAGCATTAAGTAGTGCACAAGAGATTGTTATTTAAGTGTTGTTTTGGTTTAACTAGGAAAAAGAGCAAGCTGAGAAGAAGAAAGCCGCTGCTGTTGCTGGAAGAATGAGGACAGCATCTGGGGGTGAAGAAGATGAGTATGTCGTTGAACAGGTCAGTAGAATCAAGGATTAATACATCGGTTTGTGTGCATGTAAAATAATAACACATAATTATTTCTGGCTGCTCTGTGGTGGTGTAGAGAGCTCGGTGACAGGTGCAGGTGAGCAGAGAGTCTGTCATCTGCTAGTCCCTCTACTAAAACCTTAGGCAAGGGACATGAAATGACTGATATTTCAGTCTTAAATGCATAATGTGTAATGCCAGAAAATATCCATTCTTCCCTATGGAAGGGTCTTCTATGGAAATTGGATATTTTCTGGAACTGCATAATGACAACTTAAGGATGACTGAAGGAAGATTGAGAAGACAGGCCGAGGGGTGGGATATAGCACTGCATATTATTTTTTTAATTTTTTCCCTTCTTTCATGTATTTTCTCTACAAGCAGATCGAAATTTAACAAATTGAAAATGTTCTTTATAATTTATACCAAATGTGGAGTTAACAACACTAAGTATNCCCCCTCCAGGAGATATTCAATACACTGTAGTTATCCCTTCTTTACAAAACGTCACACTAGAGGACCTGCTAATTAGAGCTGTATGTAATAATAATAATTATAATGATAATAATAATTATTATTAATTATAATAATTATAATAATAATAATAATAATAATAAAAATAAAAATACATTTTATTGTGTTTGTTTTCCGTTGGTGTAATGACATTTTTGTAAGGAGCTTATTTTTGTTATCCCTTATTGCAAGCCATGCATAGAGACACATGTACAAGAGAGATGTGTTATTGTTGTTTTTTTTATTGCAGAAACGTCTGAAATCACTGCTTAAGGGAATGTCTGCTATGGAGGGAAAAGAGGTATGAGTGAAGCAATTGAGATGGACACCAATTTTATTTCTGCATGTGATCATTTTTAAGCTTCAAACTTATAAAACTCCATTCTTTTTCAGGGTGCTCTTTCCTCAAGCACAGTGGGCTCTATTGTCGGACTGCAGTCTGAAGAAATCTCACAAATTGCCTCCGAATATGCTGAGAGGGTATGTACACGAACTTTAATACTACAAAACACACATGTAGGTAGGTAACAAAGGATGGCATGGCATGGGATATGATAACTGAAGGATAACAATTTTGATAGTTTTTAGAGCTTCTAGCTTGTGTTTCACATATTAAATTAAATCTGAAAAGAAGATAATCATATATATTAATACACATGGTGGTACAATAATACTTGTTACATGTGCTATGTGCAGTCTAGTAAAAGAAGAAATGAGAATATATTTGACCTGTGTCTTTACAGCAAGCAGAGTTACAGGAGGACATGGAGGCTCGCGGTGAGCGAATTGGAGGAGTGCAAACTCATAAGAGGATGGTAGCTTCACTTGAGAAGCAAATTGCTGTGCAGGAGAAGAAACTAGAGCAAGTAAGTTGCTTGTTCAAAATTGTACATTATATCCTTCACTTTGAACTAAAAGTCTGACTTGTAATTGTTAAACTCTGTTTAGCTTACCAATTTTTGGTCTTCTACTCAGGTACAAGAAAAGCACAATAAACTTCAGGAAACAATGTCTGAAGCTGAGGAGCAACTGTCACAGGTGATCATAAAATGCCACATTTTTCAAGAGAATATTCCCGACCCATTTTTTACAGATGGGCCAACCTCCTTGAACAAGCCTGGACATGATTCTATCCCTGTTAACGAAACCCCTTAGTAAATTAAATTATTACTTGTTAATTACAAAATTAGATCGCAAACTTTCTCATTGCATACAGATCAATTTCTTTGTTATAATATTCATAGACTTTTGGTTTATTTTTAGGCTGTAGCTCGTGGAGAGAGAATCAGTGAAGAAATGGACAAGTTTAGTCAAATGGAGAGTGGGGAAAATGCCAGGTTTTCAAATATGAATTAGTCTGCGTAGCTTGGCGGTTCAGTTAAGCATAGTTAGTAGTACTATGAGTTAAGCAATTTGAGAGCGTTTGAAGAAAGCGGCGAAGCCGTGATAACGAGCGCCAAAGCCGCGAGGAAACTGGGAGAGAGACCGCTTTGGGCGCTCGCTTTGTGCGGTCACGCTCAAATTGCTTAAAAACATTAAACTGCCAAGCTACGCAGGCTGCATATGAATTTACCATACTTTCTTGGAGAAACAGCATTGCCCCCCTCTGCCCAACCTTTTTTTCCACGTGCTGTTCTTTACACTGCTCCCCAACTAACCAGGTGTTTTTTCTATTTTTCAGCATTCTTCAAAAGCTTCGTTCCATCGTGGCTATGAATGAAAATCTGAAGAAACAAGAACAGCAATTTAGAGCTCACTGCAAGGTGCCAACATGATAGACCTACGTGTGTGATAGAGCGTAGGACCTACACCTATCACAGTTTTGTGTTCATTCACTGTCATGACTGTCAGTTTTTTTTTTCCCGCCCAATGCGTGGTCAGCTGCAAAAAGAAAAAAAAAGAAAACAATAATGACTGCATGTGTATGGAACAATAGATTTATCATATTTACATGTAATAATTTTGTTTCTGTTGTTAAAAGATTCTGTACTTCATTTACAGGAAGAAATGACTCGTTTGCAAGAGAATTTAGAAAAACTTAAAGTTCAAGGATCTGAAGATGACAGTGAGGAGAAGGTGACATCAAACAAAAGATTAGAATTAATAATTCGTTGTGTTACTTTTTCATCATACCAGTGTTTAGAATTTAGTTGCCCAAATTTATGATTCTGTCATCCGGTTTTTTCTGTTTCAGGAGAGATTGGAGCTGATTGGTAAACAGTACGAGGCGGACAAAGCAAAGTTAGAGAAGATCAGACTTTTACTGGTACATGTTACGTTTTCAAGAATGTGTCATGTCATATTTATACACAGTGTTTGCTCAAGCGCTAAAATCATAGGAAAGGAAATCTCCGCAGAGGAAAACATAGCTGATTGTTGTTACCGGTCGCACAAGCAGACGGATCAAGAATTCATTAGAGGAGAAGTTCACTCAAAATGTGGCTTTTTTTTTCTTTTCGCCAACAAAAAGCTAGTATAATGAATGGTCACTCACCAAAATTTTAGTAGCAAGGCACTGAATTACTTTCCCCATGCCAGCAAATCTTTTTGAGCTGAGCATCATTTTAGAATTAAACTACATGATCAAACCAGGTGGGCATAATCGCTCTAAGACCGATCATTTTGCCTGTTGCCTGGCCCTTTCCCTGACGGACACTATCTTGTGTAGCAAATTCGCTAACAAAAACATGGACACTTTTGGGATGCGCACTTGTCACTTAACAGTTCTTTTCTTATATGCCGTCTGTGTTTGTTACCCAGGCTCGAAAGAACCGTGAAATTTCCTCACTTCAAAGGAAGATTGACGAGGTTCCATCGCGCGCAGAGCTCACTCAGTACCAGAGAAGATTTGTGGAACTCTATAATCATGGTTTGTAACACGAAACACTTTTTCAAATGTGAAATTGATTGAGACTGTTTTGTGATTTTGCCTCAATAAAGGTCGCAGCAAGGGAAGTCATTCCCCTCCCGAGATACCTTTATTGAACCCGAGTCGCTGGCGAGAATCCTGAGGGAGTTGAATGTCGCTGTATGGAATTACGAGTTACATTTATTATAATGTGAAAATTAGGGTTAACTATGTGTAATTTATATTGAAATATTCAATAGAAGGCAACAATATGAACTAGACTCAGCCTAGACTCACTCCAGGGTTACTGAACAATACACTTTGGTTCATTTTCAGTGGCTGGAACTCATAAAGAAACCAAACAATTTTTCACTCTTTACAACACCTTGGATGACACCAAACTATACTTGGGCAAAGAGGTGAGCTCAACCAACTTACTTGCTGATGTTGTCCTCATAGTGTTTTATATAATAATAACCTGTTTTTTGAAATGTTTTTGTACAGGTTAACTTGCTGAACTCCATCCATGACAACTTTGAACAGTAAGAGTATCTTTATTTTAATTTGTATCAGCTTACTAGTGACTGAAATTCACACCCAGGCAGTGACATTTATTCCTATCAGCACCTCCTGCAACACCGAATCCCTTTCTACTTCTTGCCACACACCTAACAGGAATGAAAAGAGCCCGCAAAAACCTTATGTTTTTATACTGGTCCGTTTTTTCAGAGCAATGTCCTCTCCCACGAACAAGGAGCAGTTCTTGAAACAGTTTGACAGTATTGTTAGAGGAATCGTGGACAACAAAGAAAGGGTAGGAAAGCCGTCAACGTGTTCTCGCGCGCTTGCCACTGGTTTTATGTTTTCTCGCGCTTGCCACCCGTTACGTTTTCCCGCGTTTATAACGCTCGGTTTCACCTTTCTGCTACGAGTTCTGATTGGTTAATTCTTCCATTCATCAACCTTGTAATTTGTTCTCTTTAACTGGAAGTTTCGAGTCTTCAACTGATTTGTATTTTAACTGGTCTCGCAGCAGTTTTGCTTTAGCGCACCGCGTTTGAACGCGAGATATCAGTGACTTTGTCTGTGAGTAAGTTGTTAATGGTAACTGGGGAAAGTTCCATTACAAAAAATAACCCGAGCGATTTTCCTTTGTTGTAGATTGAAAAGAAGAAAGCTGTTGAGAAACAGCGGAGAGATGCCTTAAATCAAAAGTACCTTGACATAGTGGAGCAAGAGAGACTGTACTTTAAAACAGTCAAAGATTTTACTGAGGTCAGTTTATATATGTCTTCAAAGTTACTTTCATGCGTGAGCCTCAATTTAGCGGAACTTGCTGTTCCTTTGCCACTCCATACGCTGTTTTGATTAGTACAACATGCAATATGTGGTTTTTACATCATCCCACGTCGTTGAAATTTTTTTAAAAAAAAGGTAACGTCTGGAAAGTGAACAAGTTAAACCAGTTGGGAGCTGAGGAATCCGAGTGAGAGCCAATCACGACTGATTTTGTCGATGCACGTGATTGGAAAGATGGATAGCGTCCTCTTCTCTGATTCGTCAGAGTAGGGGACTGACTGACTGTACCTACAGTCCTTATGTAAAGATAAGATTAGCAATTTTCCTGTAAAGGCAGTAAGTTTCGCCCCTAACTTTGGTACCGTTTTCTTGCAGGAATGTCACAAGAACGAAGTTCTCCTATCCAAGCTCAAAAGCCTTCAGATTTCTTAGCTCTTGATGACGCGTGCAGCCAACATAAAGAAGCAAATTATGAAATTATTGTAATCTTCTCGGTTTTTCGCTGGATTTTCTGTTGCTGTTTTTTTTTTTTTTTTTGTAATAGGGTGAGTAAGCTGTCTGTTTGGACGGACGTGGCTCAACTTGGAAAACAGGCGTTGTCCACTTCCCAACGAGTTTCCGAGCACAGCAAGAAATCTGTATTGTGGGAAAGAACGATAAACTGAAATTTTAAAACATTGTATTTTATTAATAAATATTAAACGTTCATATCGAGTCACGTAGATTTACTTTCCATTCAGTCACAGTGTAAAATATTTTTACAAAACTTGTCTTCTAGTTGCCTGAAGGAATACAAAATTGGTCATTTCAGCTAAGAATTTATACTCGAGTTTCATTTAGTTTATAGTTTTTAGTTTATAGCTAAAGAGGTGATAAATGGGCTGAAAAATTAAACTGAACGCTAAGAAATCCGCGAAAATTTTGCTGATGATATACCACTATCAAAACCCTCTCAGATTACCATCAAATTGTCCAATATCTATTTTCACAGGTAGTGTCACTTTTGTACTTTAGTAGCTATTACATGCTACCTAACGTTCTTGTCCTGTTGCTATTGTGACAATAATTTTCAAAATATTTTCATTAAATATTGGGATTTTTACGTGATCTGCCTTCAGGCTTTCTTTAAGTCTTTGTGACGCAGGAACTCCTGTGCCGGTTTTGTTTTTCTTTTCTTCTTTCCTCTCACTCTCTCTCATCTCGGGCCACGTTTTACCTTTATTTTACTATTCATTTTCATCAAATCAAGTTTATGCCTATAACATGATGCTGTTTTCATTTAAATCTCTGCAAGTAATCTTACCCTCAAAAGCATGTCACGCAATCAAAGGCATTCTCCGCAGTCGTATTAGGGTAAATTCCCTATTTTTTTTTTAAAGCATCGTCTTTCTCTAATTCAAGTAGATTTGACTATCACCGGCTGGGATTTACGACTTATCAATCAACTGAACCCGTTTTCAGCGTCTTCGGAAGGAACATAATACATTGTCCTAACGCTGGTTCACATTATCAGAATCTTGTTTGTTGATTTACTAGCTACCGCCACGTGACCGTCCTTAGTGATGGCCGCTCCCCCTACTGAATACTTCTCGTAAAAGTAAATTTTCCTGATGAAATTTCCTTGGGGATCAAACATTACCAAGCTATTACTGGACCGATCAACAACGACAACTTGCTCGGTGTGCGGGTTAAAGACGATTCCTGATGGATTTAAGGTGCTGGGAATTTTCCTGTGTGGTTTGATAAACCGGGTGGGGTGGACCGTGCGTGACTTGAAACTTGTGTCGTTAGCAGCTCGTTTGGAAACAAAGAACACCGTATTGGAAGCCGTTATGAGTAAGTTACCGCTGTTTGTCACGCAAAGGTGAGAACCCTGCGTTTGGATGAATTCCCCGGTCAAGGTAAAACACGATAAGAATATTCCGTCCGTGTTGAGAACGAAGACCGTCTTTTCACACAGAGCAAACACCCTCCCTCTGTTTTTATCCAGGGCAATGCTCAACAGCTTTCCTTGGTTGAAGTTGGCCTGGCCCCTTCCGAAGCTCCAACGAAACTCTCCTTCTTTGTCTAAAGCAATGACTTCGTTCAGAAACTGACCGTTCAGTGGCGATTTATAGCTACTGCAGAGATAAACTCGGTCGGTCTTATCCACATCAACACTTTGAGGGTGGAGTAGGTTCGTCACAATTGTGTCTTCGTTAAAAGTTTGCAAAAATGTCTGCTCGCACACCCTTTGGCTTAGATTTCCATCTTTTGAGAACACTTTCATCTGGAAGTTATAACGATCGGCGACTATAAAATAACCTTTGCTGTTCGTAGCAACATCCACTGGACCATTTAGTTGTGCCACGCCCCCTCCGAACTCGCCAAATGCCCAGAAATAGCCGCGACAAACTTCTCCGCTCTGGACGGGATGAATTTTGTGCGAGAAATCCACGGGAATTTGCGGCCAGTGTCGCAAGAAGTCATCGCCCTTCGATGAAAGATGTAAATACTCCCACATAATACGATTTATCGAGACTACTGCGCTGATCAAAGCTTCTCTTCGCATTTCACAAAACATCCGTCTCATATTGAAGCGCCCAAATCGCACGGAAAATGCTTCGCGAACTTCCGGTAAACCATTGAGCTGTTCGAGATAGTTCTTGCACAACACTAAAGCCACTTCCGGTTCGCCGATAAATTGAAGCATTGTGGCAGCAACTCTAAACTTCATTGCCAAAACTCGATCATAGATATCCAAAGCTTCGTTACTAAAAGCTTTAGTTGCGCTTTCGGCTGCCTTCTTGAGAAATTCCTTTGCCTCCAGAAAGAACTTGTCTTGGCAGTCAATTTTGTCAAATTGCAACCCATCCGACATCAAATGTAGAACTTCCCACTCATCTAATTCGATGTTTGTTGCATCAGTGTTCACAAGGCTTACGTTGTCAAAATCTTCTTTATAAACTTCTGTTTGAATGCTTGGACTGCACTTACCAGACTTGGCGAAGCTATGGTACATTAAACTGACACCGTCTTTGAAGAAATTGGCGGAGGCAATAAGATCAAGCTTGCACAATCCTTCAAGCTTTTCGCGGATGTCTGTGAGTTCTCGAACAATAAAGTCCCTGAATCGTTCGTCGCTAACATCTCCGTGTTTAAGATTCTCTGCCCCTTTTCCTCGGATCTTGTTGAGCAAAAGTGTAAAAGTCAACCTCAGGGTATCAGCAACAATGGATGCCATTATCGATCAGGACTGTGAGATCCTGTAACTGTCTCCAACTGGATTTGTCAGGGCAAACTAGGGGTAACCCCCGATGAAGTCAGGTTTATTCTCGGAAACCTGGGACAAAAGCGGAAAACAAAAAAGTCCTGTTTGCAACCCTCATTTCAGATCAGGGTCAAAATGAATGTATCGTTTCGGATTAATGATCACTGACAACACACCCAGCCTTAAGCATACGACCATGGAGAATAGGGCATTGGTTGCTACTTTCTAGTGAAGGAGGGGATATATTTAAATAACAAGGGAATATGATGAAATATAAACATATGTCACTAAGTTGTCCTTCACCACCCCTCAGCGCCCACCACCGACACCTTCCCAAAAAACGAAACAGCAGGAAATGTCGTCTATGATCGTATTTTTATTTAAAAAGTTTGCAAGTTTTTATGGCATTCTTGAATAATTCGATGTCTTAGATCGCACGCACTCTCAGATAGAAGATGCCGTTTTTCTCGTCGATCCACCACAAGCACTCAGACGATTATCCTTCTGAGAATCCTTGGGAGAACGCCTCAGGAACCTAACAGTAC